TTTTTTTTTTTTTTTTTTTTTTTTTTTTTTGTTTTCCCTTTTCCTAAACTTTATTTTAACAATAATAATTTTAGCTTGTTAACCCATTTATGTTAATATAAATAATATTTTAACACATATTTTTATTTTTTGATACGAAAAAAATAATAATTTTATTTAATTTTGTTAATCATAATACTCAAATATTATTTTACTCTAAAATTTATTATCTTATCCTCCTTATATATAATTCTCGAATGCGCTGAGCCTACTTAGCTACTTCTGGTGCTTCGGAATCCTACTTGACGTAATGCTTCGTAATAAGGTTTCGACAAATAATATTGATATATTAATAATTAATAATTTAGATTCATATATTCCATAAATATTATTTAGCTAACTTAGGTATTTTAATATCACTTTTACTAATATAACCTTTTAATTCTTTGTAATTTTACGTAGTGAGACACTAAGTGACTAATATATCTATAACTTTTGATTTGTTTCCTTCAATTAGCTATTGAATTATAAATGTATTTTAAAAGTTGATAACTTTTATATTTTTTATCAGTTTTACATATATAATATATCAAATTAATCATCTTTTGATGATCTTCGATTTGAAATCCACATTGTATATATGAAATGTATAAATTATATTTACCTTTATAATAATAAAAAGTAATAATATTTATTAAAATTCATTAGAAAAATAAAATTATTTCTCAATTGATATATTTATGTTTAATGTAGTTATATATTGTAAGTTTAAAAATTATTATAATATAACACAGGTAGGTCGCAGAAATAAAAAGTGTCATACTAAATATATAATAATATATATATTTTTATAAAAGGTATTTAAATTTTCAACTATTTTTTCTCATTAATTTTATATTTTAATAAAAAATTAGCAAGCATCTGTAATATATGGGCGTTGTACCAACTACTTTTTCTCATTAATTTTAGATTTTAATAAAAAAATTAGCAAGCACCCGTGTAATACACGGACGTTTTACTAGTGATGTCATTATATATATACATATATATATATATATATATATATATATATAACATCTATAAAAGTAGTATTCTTCTTTTTATATATAATGATAAATATTTAGAGTTGATATGGGATACCAACCAAGAAGATCAAACCCAGTAAACCGACTAGCCGGGTCAGACGAAACAGAGCAACAGAAAGGTCGAACAGTGACAAAGAGTCTTCCGGTCGAAAGAAGAATGAGGGATTCAAAAGGACAACGGAAGGTCGAGCTAGGGTCCTCGGATGACCTATTGGAAACTCAACATGTAGGCATGGTAAGTCATATGATTGACCGAGAACACAACAATTAGAGCTCGAGCTAGTCGCACCATTAGGAAGTCTAATATGAATGACTACGAGATGAAAACGAAGACTAAAATATAAGAAAGAATATAATCATTTACATAATTGGACGATTTGGGATAACTCAGCCTATGTTGTCTCAACATAGCAGGTCCCAAGCCCTGGTAAAGGAAGAGTGTTTGTGATAGGCTTGGCGAGCCAACTAAAACCTAGCCATTCTATGGAGATGAAACACAGTAGATATTCGTTGGGGCGTAACCCTCTTAGCGACGCGCCATATCGGAATCTGAGTATGGTGTCAAATGAGCAAGGGCCGGGTCGTCTCCCCCTCGGGGACGCGCCATGTCGTGGTTTGGGCATGGTGTTAAGTGAGCAAGGACCGGGTTGTCATTTCCTTAATGGCGCGCTACATCGATGCCCGGGTGTAGTGAAAAATGAGCAAGGGTCTTCGCATCTCTCTCGACGGGTGCAAAGGGCAAGGAAGCTAGTCGAACCAACTAGGGTCCGGATAGGTAGTTGGAACGTAGGGTCCCTAACGGGTAAGCTACGTGAGCTAGTCGATGCAGCTATTAGGAGGCGTGTAAATATCCTATGCATCCAGGAGACTAAATAGAAGGGGCAGAAGGCGAAGGAGGTGAAGGATACTGGCTTCAAGCTTTGGTTCACTGGGGCTTCATCGAGTAGGAATGGTGTAGGCATCCTGATCGATAGAAGCCTTAAGGATGGAGTTGTAGATGTTAGGAGGCAAGACGATCGGATTATCTAGTCCGATTGGTAGTTGGGGATGTGACCATGAATGTGATTAGCGCCTATGCCCTCAGGTAGGTCTTAGTGAGAACGCCAAGAGGCAATTTTGGGAGGATTTGGACACCTTGGTCAGTAGGTTGTCTGCCAGCGAGAAGCTCTTCGTAGGAGGAGACCTAAACGGCCATGTAGGCGCGACTAATGTAGGTTTCGAGAGAGTGCACAGAGGGTTTGGGTATGTAAATAAATTATATTTACATTGCACATTTGCATGTAGTCAAAATTTAAAATGTAATTAGTAATACATTAATTATATAATATAAAATGTTTATATATTGCACATGCACAAAGAAAAATAAAAATCTATATATTACATAGATTTTTATTTTTCTTTATGCATGTGCACAAACATACATATAATATATTAATTTTTATTTTTCATTGTGCATGTACACAGATGAATACTAGTGATAATAAAGTTGAGCGTTACTAGTTTCAAAACAAATAGTTAATTAATTAAATTATCTGTAATTTAATTAATTAACTAATTATATCTTTAGCATGAGAGAATGAACGAGTAGATAAGTTTTGGAATTGAATTATATGTAAATTGAAGTTAAATTGAAAGTTTAACAAAATAGTTGGTTTATATGGCTTGGATAAAAATTATTATTTTTTTTTTATATCAAATAACTTAGAGTTTGATGATAAAAAATACACATATTTATTATATTAAAATATTCAATATAAATCTGTATCTTCTCTTCTTTCTATAGTGTATATATTATCTCACTTTTCAAACTTTGTACTTCCTCACTATTATTCTCTTATATATTTCAGAAAAATAATTTATAAACAATGATGTTGAATATAAATTAATTTTTAGAATTATATATATATATATATATATTAAAAATTCACCATTTTATTTATTTTTATAAATGGTTATATATAGTTATATAATTATTATTAGTTACATTTAACTATTTTATCGAACACCACATGTGTTGTATTAGTAATATAACTAGTACAACGCCCGTGTATTACACGGGTGCTTGCTAATTTTTTTCTTAAAATTTAAAATTAATGCAAAAAAGTAGTTGAAAATTTAAATACATTTTATAAAAATATATATATTATTATATATTTAGTATGGCACTTTTTATTTGTGCGACTTACTTGTGTTGTATTATACTAATTTTTTAACTTACAATATATAACTATATTAAATATAAATATATCAATTGAGAATAATTTTATTTTCTAATGAATTTCAATAAATATTATTATTTTTTTATTATTATAAAGATAAATATACTTTATTTATTTCATATATACAATATGGATGTGAAATCGAAGATCATCAAAAGATGATTAATTTGATATATTATATATGTAAATCCGATAAGAAATACAAAAGTTATAAATTTTAAAAATACATTTATAATTCAATAGCTTATTGAAGGAAGAAAATCAAAATTCAGGGATATATTAGTCACTTAGTACCTCACTATGTAAAATTACAAAGAATTAAAGGGTTATATTAGTAAAAGTGATATTAAAATACCTAAGTTAGCTAAATAATATTTATGGAATACCCGAACCTAGATTATTAATTATTAATATATCAATATTATTTGTCCAAACCTAATTACGAAGCATGATTCTTCGCCAAATAGGATTTCGAAGCACCAGAAACAGCCACGTAGGCTCAGCGCATTCGGAAATAATATATAGGGAGGATTATTTATGAATTTAACGTGAAAAGCTTATGTAATAAATATACTAGGAAGGTAACACGGCTGTGGGACCACAGCCGCCCACGAGTAATGCCTTCGCGACGATTAGAGATCATCTCCACCTAGGTCCACCCAAAATTCACCAAAGAAATAAGGTCCACCCACTCTTTATATAATCACCTAGAAAGAAATATTAGTTAATAAGCATTGAAAAGTCTAACAATAGTCATTGAATATAACAACTCCAAATAAGAGGATTCATTGTAAAACATAAGGTAAGCTCCAATGAAACTACACAAAATAAAAAATTTAACATAAAAATATGACCAGACCAAGAAGAAAAAGAAAAAACATATACTAATAAATATTATGATACTACAACCTCTACACAATTGAAAAAGATGTCGAATAATAAAAAGAAACCCAAATGATATAATTTTTATATTTCTTGTTTTATTTGTTTATTTATTTATTTATTTATTTTTTTTTTTGGTAAATGAACTCATGTTCAGTAGAAAGGCAGAGGAAATTTTAGGTCCATGGCATATTATGCATTATCTTTATTTTACCGAACTAATAATATTAACAAATCTACTTTACAAACAAACCCATGACTACATATTGTAATTAAACAAATGAACTATATCTGTATTGGACTTTTGGTTGTGGATTCAACCCAGTGGAAGTAGGGATTACTCTTTAACCTTAATTTTACTTAGCATATAAACACAACTTTTTTCATTCCACTAAATTATCTCATGTCTCCTACACAACAAATCAATCAGTAGGTAAAATTTCATATTATCAATCAGTAGGCAACACAACGTAGTACCCAAAGTAAGAGGTGTTGCTAAAGTAAGGGGTGGGTAACTCGCAAAACATAACTGCGACAACATTGATTAAACATAAAAAAGTTAGAAAAACAAGGCAAGGAATACAACGACGGACCTAGTACCACGGATAAACCGGGTTGAATTTCGGGGTGGTAGAACATGCTGTGGAGGCAGAATTTTCATCGGGGTCATTAACACGATTGTGTGTTGCGTTGTAGTTGGTTGGTTGATTGACGGAGCCATCGGTTGACCCTGTATGACTTTGAATAGAACGCTTTTGTTCCGGGGCCTTTGAAGAACTACCCATGTAAAAGGACTTACGTGCCGGTCCCTTTTTCCGCGGGATGTTCGCTCTGTTCGGGGCCTTTGGAGTGTAGTCCTCAACGTCAATGATTTCAACACCTTTGTCACCGCTTTTTTTTTTCATTCTTCTCTTCGGTGTCGCTATCAGTCAAAACATAGTACTCGATAGGAGGTACGTACGGTGGCTCCACGTAGAACAACTCGACGATCTTGTCATGTTGTGGTTCACCTCTCTCCATGTAAGCCAAAGAAAAATCATCCCACTACACGAAAATGAGCATTTTATTTAGTTTGTAACTGAAAAACTGCTGAAATGAAGCAACACATACAAAAATTGAATAAATCACCGTAAACAAGTGATGCCACGTGTTGTCCGAAGCATGGTAAATGTTCATAGTCGCATCATGCTCAACCCCATCTTTATGTTTAAGTTGAGAAAAAAATTGGTATCTTTTTTCTAGATTTTCAACGCGTTGGTTTACATACTCGGACATGAAACTCTTGCGAAACCACCCATTGATGGTCCGCGTAACAGACTCGATTCTCTCGGTGTTACTTGCAAAAGGAACAAAGAGACCAAGATGTTTCTCGTCAACCAAATAATCTATTAAAAACTCATCCAGTTTTGGGGTCCAATGTAGGTCGGACAAATAGTCGGCCTGCACTACACCAAAACTGGGAGCCATCGCAATTTTAGATCTTTCAAATAAAATTAAAATTATTTTGACAAATAAGTGTTTGTGTTGATAGTTCTACGAATGTGTTTGTGTTGAGTGTATTGGGGTGCTTAAATAGACATGAGTATGCAGCAATAATGCACAATATGAAAAAAGGCACAAGATATGGTCTTCCATGCCATCAAATAGAATCCATTCAACTTTGCAGGAAAAGCTAAAAGATACCTATAGGCATGCATTGAAAGGACATATCATGTACCTTTGAGTAGTCATTCAGTGCATATGGTTTGAACACAAATAATTGCTTCCAACAGTTGCCTCACATATTAAAATACATCAGATAACAAGATAACAATAATTGAGTTTGATAGGCATGCTTGTACATAGTCAGCACTAAAAAACAAAAATACAGATATGTTTGATCCATCAAGAAGCTGCCATCTGATAGGTGATATGTAAAAGCCATCAGTTTACAAAAGGTGGTTTTTTTCCTTTTAGGCTATCAACATCTGCCTCAACATTCATAACGCGATTGGAATCACGTTCCACATCTGGGTGGACCGTCTCCCTATCTACCTTACCAAAAATTAGCTGCAGTTTCGACCATTGCGGGTCTCCCATTTCTTGGTACGCTAGGCTGATAGGGTGATCCTGTAAAATAAGTAATGTCAATTACACAATTACATAAAGAAAGTGTAAATGTAAGAATACTTTGGAATGTGAGCACAATACGTACAGTAAAGACCCTCAGCCATGCTTCTTTTGGTCCCCACATGAGCCCACTCGCACAGCAGTAGTTGATACCATAACTTGTAATCATCTCCCTCATCACCCTATGCCGTATCCTAAATTTTTGAAACCTATCCTCACATTCTAATGAAGTATATGGCTTATCGAACTTCTTGGTCAACATATCCGCGCTTAATGTAAACAATGTGTTCTGGACTTTTTGATTGCCTTCGAGTAACAATGGCAAATGTGGTTGTGCTGATACCAAGAAGCATGCGAATGACTCGTCAACCTCAACTGTCCATTTTTGGGTAAACAAATATTGTCTTTGCTCGGGCGGGAGGTGGTTCTCCATAGCTGTTTCATGTATCGTAAATTCGACAAACTATCAATATGCTTTAAAATATTCCACAATTTGTTTTTAAGAAAAAAATCTAAAAATGTTTAATATGTTAGAGATTCAACATAGTTAACACACCAGAAAAATCTTCAATAACTAGTTATATCACAACTGCAGTCCCTTAGAACAAACTTCAGGCCCTCAGAACAAACAACCTGAGGCCCTCGCAACAAACTGCAAACAAGGATCCCATTTTTCAATATGCTAAACACATAAGTAAGGAGCCCATGGTCTACAACATGAGTAAGGATAAGTAGACAAACAAACAAAGAAGCAAAGACTTTATACAATCTGCAACACATGCCTTATAATCAGATTTAGTATGTGCAGAATTGTGGATTCAAAGATATTACGCACAAGAAGAGAGCAGAATGGATACACAACAACAAACAAGCAAAACACATTTGTTAACACTAACACATGCATTTACTAGGGCATATAAAATAACCACGAACTTGATAAAATCAAAGTTATTGACTTTTGTAATTCAACTTGAAAACATAGAAAGAATCAAGTAAACTCAAATAATCGGGTTAACTCTTATGAGTGTACATATGAACAAGAAAGTAGCAGTGATTGGTCCATGAAATTCTCAAAATTTATTTGTCTACACCCTCATTACATCTTAATTTTCCATCACATAATAGTGCATTTATAACTATCACAAAAAGATCATTATCCCCCATAATTAAATTAACGAGCCAAGCACAAGTTTACTTTGTTCAAGTAGACAAAGAACAAGGAAGAGGAACCTCGATTGAAGACTACCGTGTCGATGTATGCGAAACTGCCTTGGGGGCTCTCGGATGTTGGAAGTGATAACAGATACGCACAACAATTTGTTCAACCTTGTTGCCGCACTCAACCACGATAACTTAATCCAAAATTAATCCCGTTTTCTAGAAAGGGATGCACGAGAAAGAAAAAATATTCTACAATTCGAATGATATCGAAGATATAACCCATTTACATGGATATCGAGATGTACCTCATGAAATAATCATGCTTTCGTCCTCCACGGTTGTTGCAGTGTCGTGTCTTCAAATCAACGGGCTTTGGATCGACATAATCGCAGGAGTCCCAGGTTAGGGTTCTTTAGAATTCTGTCGAGCATCGAAATGAATTGGGAAAATCTGAGAAAATGAGAGAGAAGGGTAAAATGGTAATCATGCGTTTCTATCAACTTTTTGCTTTTAAAAACACAACAATGTTATCTTTACTGGTAAACAGGGGATAAGATCGGACGAATATACCATCATGCATGGTAAACATGGGATGCAATCTGACGTGTCATTTTCAAGGGATTAAGTTATTTAATCCCAACCTTGCTAGTAAGCGAGGCCATAAGGAATTAATTAAGGAAAAAGAAAGTGCTCTGGACAAAGCCACGTGTCAGAAGTCCAGCCCCTCAAACTCGTGCTTATTAGAATAGAGAGGGAAGAGGAAGATTCTGTAATACAATATACGTGTTAACTCTTGTGGTAGATCGTTTTTGTTTTAATTATTATTATTATTCTTTTGAAAAAAGTGAAAAGCGCTATCAACATTAAAAATGACATCAAGATTCATATGCCTGTTATAAATATATATGGTCCACCACCATTAATTTTATGTATGTGAATGACTATTTTGCCCCCGATGTAATTGTATTATTATGGTTGTGCCATCAGAAGTTTCCTATAAATAGGAGCTTCAGTTATAATGAAAATTGCACCTAAGAGAAACATTTCTCTATTATCTCTCTTTCTCTCTAGCTTTATAACACGTTATCAACACGAGTCTCTGCCCACTAAAGCTCGATTTGTAATATAAGAAAAGTATGCTCTACAGTTGCGTCCTACAGACGATCCTCTGTATCAGAAATTCGATTATTACTAATCGTTCTTCTCTTGAATAAACTCCATCTGAAAATGAATAAGTAAACAAAAATAAAGTAAAAAATAAACTTTAAAATTTCCACAAAATTAGATTAGAAGCAAAAGATGAAGAAGAATTACGAAATGGAGGGTGAGGTTGAAAATGAAGAAGAAAGGGACATCTCCCTTCTCGGCCAGAATTTGACCGGCCACGCACAGTTCAGGTGGGCCCCGGCCACCTCGTCCCGCCGCTGGACAACCACCGCCGACAGTCGGGGTCTAAGGAGATCAACTTATCGTACTCATCCGCCGATCTTCCGTGCTAACTTGTTTGCCTCGTCGCTAACCCACGGCGATACCGCCGGGAAGCCACTGTTGTCATCCTCGTCGCCTTTTAAAAGGAAGTGCGATTGCGAGAACGCCGGCGCCTCCGGCAAGTGCAGTGGGTCGTCTTCTAGCCACTGCCACTGCTCCAAAAGAAAAATAAAATAAAAAAAAAAAAAGAGAAGAAAAAGGGAGATCGGATAGTGACGGATATAATAGAGAAATATGGGGAGAGGAGCAAGAATCTTGGTGGTGGATTTTTTTCGCTGCAAGTCTTCTGCCAATTGAGGTAAGAAATTTGGTATTTCTTGATAATACAAAATATGATAAGGCTATTGAATTATTAAATGACAACTTGACACATGAGAACATGAGCATATTTATTATTTATTGAAATTGGACTCAATATCATGCCCCAGCTGTATCTAAAATAATTTATGTGATCTAGTATTTTATTACAATAATACGGTTGCTAGGATTGGTGTTCTAAGGTGGAAATTATTTCTACAGGTAAATTATTATTTCACTTTCATATTTCTTAATTTAATGATAGTTTCATTTTAAGACCAATATTGATATGGTTTATTAATTTATATTAATACATATTGTCATTATAAAATATTTGATTTTTTCTATTGAGAAAATTATTTGGTACGTGAACATGTGGATATTTATGGATTGACCCATCTGAAATGAAAATAAGTATGTGTGACTACGAGGATCGGCCAGTACGGCTCTGCCGCCGGCAAGTAATATTTAATGGTAGCTGTCGGGTCAATTGTTGAAATATAAAAAAATAATAAAATATGTGAGAGGCCGAACAATTTATCAAAAGAAGATTTGAACAACTAAGTGAGTCGGTCAGTGTAGCAAATAATTATGACCGGTATGGCCAGATGATAAATGTATTAATAATGATGACCGGTGATGGCCAAACGATAAGTGTATTTGTTAATGATAGCCGGTGATATGGAATGGCCATATTATAAGGCCATGTGCAACGAAATATGAATGACTATATATACATGGGTCGGCCAGTGCGGCTCTGCCACCAGCGGCGGGCAGTACAAATTAAGGGATAGCCGATGAATTAAATTAATGATACTTCGTATCTGGCCATGTGATCGTAAACGAACATTATATGGAGTAATCTGATTCTGAAAGAATATTGGATAAATTCTCAAAATTTATTGATGGCCGAGAAACGAATATTGATGAAGTAGTACCAGAAGTTACTACTTAATGATTAAATGATATCTGGTATATTGGTATTGGAAGCTACCACGTTATGATTAAACAAAATGATGAAATGGTACCAGAAGCTACCATTGGATGATTGAACCAAATGAAAAAGTGGTACCAAAAGTTACAAGTTATGTGTGATCACACAAAATAATTTCTCAATATATTATATGAGTCTAAGGGACTATATCAGATCACATTGAGATTCGAGATTATATAGATATTACAATAAAGTGCTCCAGAAGAAGCACATATGGTAAATGATTGTAGTCATGAATTACTACACGCTTATATTGTGGAAAAGCAAAATTGATATTATTATTAATGAGAAACAAGTACAGAAAGTTCATATGATGAAAATATGGAGAAGAGTCAGTACATACTCGATAAATACGAAATATGCAAATATTACATAATAGAACCCATAAAAGAAGGGTGCGTCTCGAGAGTATAAAACTCCGTAGCTCTGCCACCCATTATTGTTATTTGGGTTCATAATGAGAGATCTAAAGGATCAAAAGCTCTTTTTCGCTTGACCCCTTGTGTTTCCACAGAATCTTGAAAAGTGATGCATTCTTGAAGCTTTTTGATAAGCTCAACAGATGTATCTGCAAATTTGAATACTTCTCTCGTTGGAGGAGATATAAAGGTTTGATATACTCCTTGGTCTAAAAATCCAAGCAAACCATGAAATAAGTTAATTAAATTCAATAGACCTATGGGCTTGTTATGAAGTTTCAATTCTGCCCAAGAAGCAATGGTGAACATCATCATTAGCGTTCCATAACCGCCTGGAAGAATGATAAATGCATCGCTCTTGTTCACCATATCCATCATACAATCATAAATAGAATGAGTTAGCATCATGCATATGGAATTCTTGACGACCCTTGTTGAAGCTCTATGAAAAGGTATGATACTTTTCACTTCTATCTCAAAACATTTCTCAGCTAATAAAAGATTATCAAAGAAAGTGATGCTAGTCCCTCCATACAGTAAATTGATTTTTTGATTTCCCATATCCCTTACTAACTGACTCACAATATCAACATTTTGAGAGAAACTTACCAGTCTAGAACCACCAAGAACACATATGGTTTTGATCGGTTGAAGAAATTTATTACCTTGCGAAGAATCTGAAACATCCATCTATTCATTGAAAAACTTAATTTTGAGAGGCATAAGATTATGATGAACGACTCGCTATTTAAAGGGAAAGATTTACAAAACGATAAATAATTTTACTATTTCTTATAACAATTGTAACCGACAAATAAGGCGTGGGATTTTAAATAAATCTTATATGTCGGCAGCTAGACGATTTTCTGAAATTACAGTGCAACTACTAAACTTCATTATTATGATTTTTTCTAATAAAAAGACTAGTTTTACAAACTTGATCTTTTGAAACAATATTTTCGAGACTATAACGTTCTTCTTCATTTTTGAAACGAATCTATAGAGACAGAAGCTCACGATGCACATAACCTCTAGGATGTGTCTCAAGAATCTGGTGAATCGTTTGATCCATAGACTCCTTACTCAATCCATCCTTTATAAATGCTATTTTATCTTCTCGATTTTTGGACATGAACCCCACAGATTTGCATCGTGTGTCACAAGTCCATCGAGCGCATTTGAAGCATCCACCTAATCTTTTTGCTCTTCGTTTCTTTGCAAAAGTACTCTTACCCATACCTGGCATATATTTATATGAATTTGGAAACTCTCCAGACAATCGAACTTTTGCTTCAATCAACCATCGAATATCGCCTGGAATATCATTAATCATTAGCACCCTCAATCTTTCTATTCGAGACCGATAAATTGTTTTTACGATATTTACTGGAACAAATGGATAATATTTATGGATATTTGAGAGTGTTAAATCTATTTGTAAATTCAGACCTTTGTTCAGAAATATTGAATGGATTGCTTAATAATTTAAAGAAATGATCCGTAAGCTATACGACTCTAAAAACAGAGAGTCTGTGCTACAGAAGAATTGATACGCATGTGATACGATTCTGAATTTAAAAATTGTGGGTCAGAATCTGCACTGGAAGTGCATTTATTGCCGCCGAAAGATGATGTGATATGTTTAATGGGTCACAATGAATTATTGTGATGTTTACTGATATAAATGATGATAGTTTGAATGATTAATTAATTCTTTGTGATATGAGATACTTTATTCTCGATTGGTGAAATTATTACTGGCTAAATATTTGTGAATCGATTTTTGATCAAACTGAGTATGAAAGGGGTACGATATATATGGGCTCACTACCCCTCCATGTGTGCTACTAGATATTATGGATCCACTAGATAGCCACATGTGTGTGATCCGTAACTTGAAGTTACGAGATGATTTGATCAAAGAATGTGTATATGACACGTAACCAGAAGTTACGAGATGGTTTGATCAAAGAATGACACATGATGGCTATGAAAGAATGAAAATAAGTGTCATATGAAAGTGATTAATCTAGTAATATAATTAGCTCATATGATGAACTCATGAAAAAATGTGCACATTACAAGTGATATGAGTTCAAAGTCCCCCTATTATATGTTGAAATCGAGAATGAAATGGAGATTATATGAACTCCCCTCAAGAAACTCAATACTGAAAATACAAATCAGGGATCTGTTAAGATGAGGGGGAGAATCAATTATTGAAATTTTGAAAATGACATATGCATCACACTGAAAGTGTGCAAATCATAAACTGAATGATACTGATGGTGGTGAAATATATGAAATGATATGATGGTGGAAAGATACTGGAAGCGTTGGTATTGTGCAAATTGAAATTCCCCAAATAAGTGATGAAAGGAGGCATATATATACTATCGATGAAATTAATTGATAATGAGATATCTCAATATATCACGGGGAATAATGGAAATGAATATGTATCGACACAAACAGATGAATAACGCTATATAACTGATATTGATGAGAATGAAATCAACTCAATTGTGAATATTGAGAACTATTTTCAATAAGACCATTGAAATCGATTGATGATGAGAATGAGTTTAAGAATGAAAGTTGCACAAAATCATGATATGGAATATTATCATAAATACCACCAGTATCAGAAAATCTGAATAAATCTATATGATATTCATGAAAATTATGGAAGTGTTATTATGATGAATATATGGAATGCGCGTTGTACTCTTTTTCCCTTGGCTGAGGTTTTGTCCCATTGGGTTTTCCTAGCAAGGTTTTTAATGAGGCAACAGAGATGGCGTATTCACATGAATAGTGTACTCTTTTTCCTTCATTAGGATTTTGTCCCACTGGGTTTTTCCTAATAAAGTTTTAACGAGGCATATTCATGGTATGATGAGGACTACTGGATAATTGATATAATTCCTCATGATGATGAGAAAAGACTGGAGTAGCTGTACTCTTTTTCCTTCGATCAAGTTTTTTCCCACTGGGTTTTCTTGACAAGGTTTTAACGAGGCAGCACATGGATACTCCATTAAAGATGATCTATTTGAGGGAGAGCAATGTTGTTCTTCCACAATGCTCAGGTTTTGTCCCACCGGGTTTTCCTGAGGAAGAAATGTTATGATTTCAAGATGATCAGGTTTTGTCCCACCGGGTTTTTCTGACATGCTGAAGCAATGGTGCCTGATGACCACAAGATATACTTGAAGATGTGCAGATTGGGTTTTGTTTAAATAATGATTCAAATATGTTTAGAAAATAGTCATTCAAGGGGGAGTGTTATAAATATATATGTTCCACCACCATTAATTTTATGTATGTGAATGATTATTTTGCCCCCGATGTAATTGTATTATTACGGTTGTGCCATCAGAAGTTTCCTATAAATAGGAGCTTCAGTTATAATGAAAATTGCACCTAAGAGAAACATTTCTCTATTATCTCTCTTTCTCTCTAGTTTTATAACAATGACAAGTTTTTCCTT